ATGAATAATTATACATAAATATGAAGAGAATCAGACGGTATTGAAATTTTCAATAATCTTCATATATTTGATAGATATACATTTTGTAAATATTGATGTAATAATATACAATTCTTTACAATTTTACTCATAGTGTAATAGATGTTAGTTTTGATAGAGATTGTATCTCATTGTTCTATACGTTACTACGATAAGATTATTTTAAGTAGATAAGAATCCGTAATTTGACTTACTATACAATACAATACAAACGGACCATAGAATAACGATTAAAACAAATCTTTTGATCATTATTTTAGACATCTGTCGCACATTTTTCTTTTCATAAGTTAATTTCTGTCATCAAAGAAACAGCCAGAATATCATCTAGAAAAAGAAATATCAAAGATCAATTTTAATATTTCAATTTCAAACTACTTAAAAGACAAGTTGACTTTTTTGACCTTGAATTTCTTTTCACCTAACAAATAATTTTTCATTACATAAAATTCTATATATGATACAACGAAATATGAATCGATTTTTTTTTGACATAAAAGCTTCTTTCTTCTTTCTTTCAACACAATTATAAATTTGAATACATATGTTCAATTCATAAGTATTGATAAAACGTCATAAGAAAAAAAAAATTTACAATTTATCGTTTTAGGTGTGAAATATATTCATGTATAGAACACATTTCTTTTGTTTATCTGTTAATAGATATGATGTAATAAAAAGAAAATCATAATTTTTTTATATGTCATGATTATTGCTGTTGATTGTTTCGTATGATATTGAAGAAGATAGAGGAAGAAATTATCAAGGATATTACGATATAAAGAACAAGCAAGAGAACGATACTATGCTAGTTGTAAGATATCCGTACAAAGGCGGCGACAGTAACACCGTGTAGTATATAAAGAAAAAGAAGAAAACAAGCAACAAAATAACCGCAACCGCAGTTTCTTTTTACTATATACACACGAGAGTGTCCTTCCTTTTTTTCTTTTGATATACGTATGTATGTAAGTTGCGCCATGCAGACATTAATGTCAAACGAAAAAAAAGAAAGAAAGGCGAGTGTAAAAAGAAAGCAAAATTGACGGGAGTGTGCTCAGAAGGTAAGAAAAACGAAAAAAAGAAATCTTGACAACTGATCATACAAAACGCAATTGAATAGCCAAACATTTTGCATTCGTCTTAGCACATGAACCGGAACAATAACTAAACAACTGATTTCATTTCGAAGGATTATTGGTGACAATAAATAGGTAATAGACTGTTTCTTTTCTTAGTTTTTTTGTACAATCATCATGTATCAGTTAATTCGATTTCCAAATAAGCAACTATATTTCTTATCCTGTAATTAATGACAGTCACATTAGTTCGTATAAAGAAACAGACGTGTTTTTTTTGTCAACAGGAATATATCACTATCATCTGGCACGTCTAGAATAATCTAAAAAAATCTTTTTGCCATTTCCCTTATGCTTATCATAAGATGCTGGTAAGATGGTTGCATCAGTTATCCCTTTATACATAGTGACTGTTGTTAGTCAATATGAAGATCATAATAGCTTGACATTTTCAGGAAGAAAACTAGCAACATGTGTCATACCAATGACACACTGCCACTCAAGACAAATTGATAACGTTATACCTCGACTATTCGTTTTACACCTTTTAGAGTAGTAAAAAGTAGTAATAATATCATTGTATATCCATGATAGGGCATCTCATATATATATATTCTCTTTCTCTATAAATGGCTTCTTTTATTTCTTTTTCACGCATCACATCTAATCTTATAGTTATATATGTTCATCAATCACTTCTCTAGTCGATCAAGGTAACTACCGTGTTGTCCATCATTTACTTTCATTGAAAATGATAGTCTACATATAGATCTATTCATAGCTTAATCATAACAATAAATTTGTATTGTAATATCGATACATAGTATTACTTATATAATAAGATTGATTTAGAAGAAAATCAAATCGTGTTATGCCTCAAAGGCAAAAGAAACCAAATATCTTTCTTTAGCAACTAATATTACTTCTCCTTTTTATTTATCAATCTTAATTTTTATTTATAGCTGATGATTGACATTAATATAATATCTCGTTTCGATGAGCTATTATTCTTATTTAATCATCATTATTATTCTCATTATTAATTTAACATTTGTATGGACAACATCATCCATAATAAAAACTAAATCTTTATTATCAAAAAATGGTACATCGTTAAATATTCGTGAACAAACTCATAAATTTCGAGATAAAATTACATCTGCTCGTGATCATTTTCAAACTTCACATGACGAATCAACTGAAGAAGAAGATGACGATGAGAAATTCTCAACAAAAGAACAAATAACATCTGTTGTAGTAATCACATCCCTATCAGGCATTTATGTTTGGTGGCCAATAATATTTGGTGGTGATGATTCATTTCATTTATTATTAACTCAAGAAGATGTACCACGTTTTCATGATGTAGCTGGTGATGATCATGGTCATATCTATTTAACAGCACCACATGAACGTACTGTTTATCGTTTACAATATTCAGATGGTTGGTGGATATCAAATTTTTCAAATCATTCAGTTATGAATTCAATTCGTAGTGAAATGCCATTATTTCTTAATGTTCATTATGTTTCATCAATACTTTATGTTTATGGTCATTCAGATATACAAATAATTGATTTACTACAAAAACCACGTACACGTGGTTCAGCACCATTTATGAAACGTTTACGTGAACTTAGTCCTAGTTTACGTATTAGTGATATGATTATCGATCAAATAACATCTGATGGTTATATTATAGGTGATTCATATGGTTGGTGTACAATTATACGTTGTTCATTAAGTGTTAATGATTGTATATTTTTATTTAAAATTCCATCATCCTATGATAATCGTCCATATCCATGTATAGCAACAATTGATTTTTCAACTAAAATTATGTATGTAAGTTTAGAAGAAAAAATTCTTACTATTCATCTTAATGAACAAACAAATTTTGATCGACGTGAAATTCTAGCAAATAAATATGGACCACGTTCAACATTAGGATATGATGATATTGTTACATATAAAAATGTTATTCTATATACCGATGTTCTCAGACCAATTTTACATATATGTATGTTAAAAAATTCTAATCCATGTTTAAATATGTCACTTATATTTCCTCCACCACAACGATCAATATTACCACTTCGATTAAGTATTATTCAAGTATCAAATCTTCGACCACCTGCAGTCGATGATGAAGATGATATTGAACTTCATATAAATCAAACAACGACTATTCCAACACCATTAGCTCTACTCATTTCAAATACAACAAGTGAATATCAACGTCTTATAAATGATAATTCAAATAAATCTTATGTACATAAAGAAATAAATGTGAATAACATTTGGATGTTAATACTTGGGATTTGTATTGGTCTTCTTCTTGCCGGTATATCATTTATGATTTATTATGTAATATTTAATAAAAATCGACCAAAATTGAAAAAAGAATTTTCAACAATAAATTCATCTTCAATAAAAAGAAGTACATCTGGACAAACACCACTTCTTAAAGATAATGATATTAAACCAGAATATAAACCATTGAGTTCACAATCTACAGATAGCTCAAATATATATGTTACTGAATCAAATATAGAAAGTTCAAGCGACTTAACAACGACTACAACTAGCTCATTAAGTTATCGTCCAAATATTATTCTTTAGTTTTTATTGTTTTTCTTCTTTTTTTTCAATCATTTGTTTATGATTATTTTTTTATTATTTCTAATTTTAAACAAATATACTTATACTTTTTAAAATCAAGTAAACAAAATGTCGTAAACACCTATTCAAGGATAAAACTGATGGTTACAATAATAAAAATAATTCACCTTGAATTTAAATAGGTATGAATATTAAGTATACTACCATACATGAGAACCAAATATCGTAGATTTAATGATCCGACATAAAAATGAACTTGTCTTCTGAAATAGTAATATGTTATAAAAGTTGGAGTTTCGAAATAAATTTATTCAGATGAGTTTTAAAGTTGTCATAATAAAACCATACATATGAAAAGAAAGTTACTATGACATACGTTTATTTTACCGATTACATTTTTATTCTCTACTTTTATTGATTGCATCATAATTATATTTAAGTTCAAAATATATTCAAATATGTCTTTATTAGCTTAATTTTAATATTTCAATGATATGAGAAATTTTATACTAGTAGTAATGAATATGCATTAGTACAAAACTGAATGGATATGGGTTTTGTAATGCATATGACACTCACACACACACAATCTTAGTTTATCTATTTAAACTTTGTTTTTTTCATCAGATAAAGTGTCAAGATATGTTGCTTTAAACTTGAATGTTTTTTAAATTGAAAGAACGTCTTTAAATATCGAATTTACACTGAGTTACTCGGTTCAATCGATATTCTTCTAGTCGGTTCGATTGGTATGACGGTTACTAATCGTTACTGTTCTATTTCTTTTAAAAAAAGATGTTTGTATATGATGAATAATTGTATATTAAGTTTTTTATGACCCAAATGTCGTTAAAAAATTCTTATATAAGTAAGAAAAAAAAATAATCGTTTGTTAAATTTCAAATATTCGACATTCAATCGTTGATGAGAAGTTTCTTTTTTTTATTAAATTACAGTTACACTTTCTTTTAAGATCTAACAAAACAAAATTCTTATCTTCCTTTGTCGACTCTATATCAACTGAATCATTTGATAAAGCTCGATTAGTCATCTACGATTATTTATTTATGTGCAAAATATTTATACGGTAATAAACATCTAATAAATTCTCATTGGTCGACTATATCCATGACTCATTATTGATTGTTTGACTAGTCTAATATTCTTGTGAATCATTTCTTCGATTTATTAATCGACTAACTAGGAAAAGATAGTATACAGTAACAGTTTTTCTTTAGATAGAAAGACAAAACATAATCCATGTCAAATCCACATCATTTTCTAAATATACCAGCTAAAAAAGCTTTTGATGTACCTTTATCAACACCAATTAAAAATTTTATTAAAGCAACATTCGGTGATAAAGAAGATCATTCAGCAGCTGTTGATGGATTAAATTCATTACGAGCTGAATCATTACTTCGTAGTAATTATAAAGAAGATATTTCAAAATTGTTACGGTAATTAAGAATATATATATATATCAGAATTTTTCTTATGAAACTTGTTTTGTTGTTTTCTATTTAGTTATTATGATCAATTACATGCCATTGAATATAAATTACCAATAACAGAAAATCAAATACGAATCTATTTTAAATGGCAAGATGCACTTGTTGGTGGAGGTGGTTTATTTGGTGGTAAACAAAAAACAAATGGTTCATGGAAATTAGCATTTGAAAAAGCATGTGTATTATTTAATATTGGTTATGCTTATAATGAATTAGCATTAGCACAAAATTTATCAATAGATGAACAAATGAAAATGGCATTAAAATATTTTCAATTATCATCAGGCATATTTTCATTTTTAAAAGATTATGTTAATGCAAATGCATTATCAGATGTATCTATTGATTTCGAACCAGCAGTTTTAGCATGTATTTCATGGTTAATGTTAGGACAAGCAGCTGAACTTGTTTATGTAAAATCAGCTAGTCTCAAAGGTTAGTAAAATTATTTTATACATGACTTTATATATTTTTTTGTTGTTGTTGTTGTATTTAGATGATATTGCAGCTAAAGTTGCAGCACATGCAGCTGATTGTTACAAAGAAGCTTATACATCAGCAAAAACCGAAAGTGCAAAAAAGGTCATTCCTGATGTAAGTCAATTATTTTTTTCTAATCATCTATCCTATAAAAATTATCATAGTCCATATATTCACTGATTAAAAGAGTAGATCCGTTTATATTTTATCATAAGTTATAAATTTCAATTCGTTGTATATAAATCAAAAGTGAAAAATAACATTTCATCTTATATCTATTTCTACTTATTACCAAAAAATTCATTTTTTGAAACTTATTGTCTATTTTTTAGAATTTTACTAATGTTATGTTTGTTAAACATTTATTATTTCAATCAAAAACTGAATATCATGCAGGTAAACAAGCTCAAGTTGATCGAAAATATGGTCTTGCTGTTGTTCGATTCGATGTAAGAGAAATATAAATAATCGATAAAAACGAAATTTCTTTTTATTTTATCTAGCGTGCAAAAGATCTTGCTGATCAAGCTGTTAGTAAATCAACAACAGCTTCATTTACACCAGCACTTCGTGCTAATCAAGATGAGATTGCTAAATCAGCAGCTGTAGCACACAAAGATAATGATTTTGTTTATCATGAACGATTACCAGATTCAAAATCACTTGAAACAATTTTAGCACAACCAATTGCTAAACCATTACCGGTTACATTTCCATTAACACATGATTTTCGAGGTAATTTAATATCTATTTTTTGTTTTAAATAATTTTCTAAATATAATTTATTTCTTAGATTTATTTGCTTCACTTGTTCCAATTGCATTAAATAATGCTTTAGCAGCATTTAGTTCAAAACGAGCAGAAATAATGAATCTTGAAGTTAATCGTTTACGAGAAGCAACCAATGTATTGAATTCGTAAATAATAAATCAAACAAAATTTTGATTTGTTGTTTTTCTATGAATTTCATTCTTATATTTAGATTTTTGGCTTCACTCAATTTACCAGCTGCAATTGAAGATAGTGGTGGTCGTCAAATTCCACCATCACTTATTGAAAAAGCAAATGAAATTAAACGACAAGGTGGAATTAGTACATTAGAAAAAATGGTTAATGAATTACCAACATCATTAAATCGTAATAAAGAAATCTTAGATGAAGTATAAGATATTTGTTTTTTCTCATATTATCTTTTTAATAATAAAAAAATTTCATTTATTTCTTCTAGACTATTCGTATGTTAGATGATGAAGAACGAGGTGATACAGAATTACGTACTCAATTTCAAGGACGTTGGACTCGTACTGTATCATCAACATTAACAGTTCCATTACGTGCTGAAGCAAAAAAATATATGGATATTATACAGAATGCTATTAATGCTGATAAAATTGTACAAGAAAAATATCGAATGAATCGTGATTGCACTGCTTTACTTAGTAAACAAACGGTATAAATTACTTTTCTAAAGACTAGTCATTGTATAAAAATCGAGATAGAATATTTCAGTTATGCTAAAAAATACAATAGTAGCGATTCTTCTGACAAAAAACTAAGTTTTAATTTATTTTTTTCTTTAGCATGAAATTGCCAATGAACTTCCATCATCATCTGCTGCTGGTGCTTTACGTGATGCATATTCAGTACGTGAATTACATCGTTTAATGGATACTGTCGCAGGAGTAAAAGCTGAACGTGAAGTGATTGAATCTGAATTAAAAAATACAGATTCGGATAGTGTTCGTGCACGTTTAATTGCTGCTTTTCAACAAGGAAATCATAGTGATGAAAATAGTGTTGTTGTTCATGAAATTGAATCACTCTATACACCATTAAGACAACAAGTGAATGAAAGTGTTTCAAAACAAGAACAACTTGTTGAAAATATTCGTCGTGCACATCAACAATTTCAAACTGAAAAACAAGGAAATGCATCATCGGAAATACGTGAAGAAATGATGAAAAATTTAGCTCGAGCATATGATGCTTTTCAAGAATTATTAAGTAATTTAAGAGAAGGAATAAAGGTTTGTTCAATTATATATATATACATGATTTTATTAAAATATTATTTGATTTTGTAGTTTTATAATGATCTTACACCATTATTACTTAAATTTCAAAACAAAGTATCCGATTTTGTCTTCGCACGTAAAACAGAAAAAGAAGATTTAATGAAAGATATTCAACGAGGTATTGTTGGCGGAAATGCTCCAAAAGCACCACCACCAGCACAACAACAACAACAAACAAGTATGTAAATCAATTATTTTAGACATACAAATGAATTAATTTCGTTATCTTTGATTGGAAATTTGAATTCGACTAAGATATTTCATATCGGATACTTAATGATATTAAGATAGCTGCTCGACTGATAGAATCTTTCCGATTCATTCTATTTTAATTTGAATAACGGTTGTTTAATAGGCGATTTTCTATCTTTTCTTTTAGCAACACCAGCTTATCCATATGGTACTGCTCCACCATATCCAACGCAACCATCAGCTCCAGTAACTGGTGGTCAAGCACCACCAACAGTACCGGGTATGAATAATATTAAAAATAAATTGTTTATTTTATGAAGAATTTTTTGTTGATTAATAGATGGTTCAGCATTGCCTTATCCTGGTGCTTATATGCAACCATTCTTTCCTATGCCAGCTAGTTATAATCCATATAATCCATTTTTTAATCAAAGTAAGTCAATTTGATTATACATTTCTGATTTATTTGAATATGTTTCTCTTTGTAGTGGCTCCTCCTTATCCAACGGCTGGTGCCCCACAATATCCAATGGCTGGTGCTAATCAATATCCAAATGCTGGTGCTCCACAATATCCACAAGCAGGTATGCTATTATTTGAATTAAAATATTTATTTTACTATTCTTATTTTAGGTTATGGTGTTCCAAGACCAGCAAAAAAATAAACCATAATTGTACAATCGAATGGCTATAACTTTTTCTTTCTTACCCGAGCTCTTTTTTTTCTTTTGAAATACATCTCCGGTGTTCTTATTCAGACAACCATCAACAAACTATCTATTCTGTGTGCGTTTCCTCATTTGTACTAATATTATCTACGACATTCTTTCTTTTTTTATATTATCATTCTTACTAGTATTCTTCTTTTACTTCTACTTATTCCTTGATTAACACTATTTTGAAAAAAAAACAAAAGATTATGATAAATGATATCAATTCTTTTAATGCTCATCAAAATGTGATCGATGTTCATCATGTCGATGCTCGATAGTTCGATGTACATGAAGATTATCATTTGGTGGAATAGATTGTACACCAACAGGCATAGTACGAGGTGAATTTAAAAAACCTCTTCCACCTATTTGATTATGAAATACACCTGGCGGAAAACCATTTACCATAGGACCATAAGGCATTGAAGGATAAGGCGGATGAAAACCTCTTCCATAATTCATACCAATTGTTGGAGGATAACCATAAGATGGAGATGGCATATAACCAGGTGGTGGATGTCCACCATGATGATTATAATATGGGCGATTATAAACTGTATTATTATTTGGATATGGGTAATTATAATCTGTATTATTATATGTATATGGATAATTTGGATACATACCACCAGCGCCCATTCAAAGAAAACAAAAAATAAATAATAGATTAGCAAAACAAAAGACTATGAATAATAATTTTAAAAAACAGAGTAAATAATTTGCGCCTAAAATTTATGTTCTAAAGATTGTATTGTTCGAAAAAGTAAATAATTCATTGTTAAATCTATAAGAATAGCTGTATATCGATTGTGATCGACTAAAACAATTATGATTGTTTGATGAATCGACTGATAAAATTTATGCATGCACATATATTTTAATGTGCATACACCTCGAGGTATCATTTTCATATTGATCATAAGAGAACACTTTATAGAAGTATTTGAGCAACATATTCATTTGATAAAAATTACCCAACGGCAACAACAATTATCGGTTAGACACCATTATATAGTATATAAACATAAAATTCCAGACATCTACTGAAATAGAATGGTATTATATCATATTTTTTTTTATTTATTTTGATCAGTTGATTCGTTTCAATTCAATTTAATAACAAATAGGTTATTCTTTCATGCATGACAAAATATATATAATGTGTCAAAGATTAACACGCATTTTAAATGTATCGTAAAAGATGACACATTTTTAGATTGATATACATTTATAACGTGAACATTCATTTGCTTCAATAACTTAACTATCATTGCAAATATTGTACAATTCATACTAATAACCGTTGATGTCAAGTATTTTTTAGGTAATTCAATGTGATAATGTCAATAAAACAAATCTCTCATTTTCTTCAATGGAAATGATAATGGATTTATTAAACTATTTCATTTTCAGATTGAACTATACATTAAAATAACATTTAAACGAAGATATAATTCCACAGAATCAATTGATACGATAATTTCATACATGAGTAACCAACGCCATCTATATTCAAGTTGTATTTTGTATTTTTATAATAATCATTGTTAAAACAATGAAAAACAAAGTTAAAGTTTCATCATTTTTTTACTAAATGAAAAATAATTTCCATCTAATCAAGCTTATTCGCAATATCCAGTAATAAAAATCACTTAATCATATAACCCAATGTACAATACAGAGAAAGGATGAATGAATGAATGAATGTACATGTCGATATATGTATATATATTTTTTTTTGTTCAATATATATCCATTGAGACGAAGGAAAGAAAAAGCAAGGAACAAGTGTTGTTCATTCGTTCATTGACTTTAACATCGGTCAACACATTTCATATTCATTGTTATTAACATAATGTTATCGTTCTATCTATTATTAATATTTTATCTTATTCAATATTCTTTAACTGATCAATGTCCATCAATAAAATCTTGTATATGTTCATCAGATTTAACAATAATATCATGTATAAATCATCAATTAACTGATGATTTCTTTCCTAATCTTGATATACAATTTCCTCAATCAACTACAATTTTAAATCTTTCATTAAATTCTTTTACATCAATAAATTCTTTAACTAATTTAAATAATCTTCAAATACTTGATCTATCCTATAACAAATTAAATTCATTACCATCAAATTTATTTTCAAAATTTCCACAATTATCATCATTATATCTTCAAAATAATTCATTAACAACAATACCGAAAACATTCAATGAAATATCTAATATTAATCTTGATCTATCAAATAATCCATTAAATTGTACATGTCAATTAAAATGGATCATTAAATGGTTTGAAACAATAAATCTCCGAAAGAAAATCAATTGTCCTGAAAAAGATTTTTGTTTAAATAAAAAAAATTTTCTTACAATTACACCTGAACAATCACAAGTCGTCTATGAAAATGATTCATTTACGTTAAATTGTTTATCGAATACAAAAACTTTTTGGACATTTAATCATCAATATTATTCATCGAATTCAACAATATTTATACTATTTTTACAATTAAATCATTCGGGTTTATATACATGTCATAGTTTAAATCAAAATCGTTCAATATCATTACATGTTTTAAATCTTCAATTAAATCATTTTTGTCAATCAATACAAATGGATACATCAAAAGGATATTTTTATTGGCCACGAACATTAACTGGTCAAAAAATACAATTAAAATGTCCATTTGGTTCAGCAGCATGGTATGATAATTTTGCTCAAGCATCATATATATGTTCAATAAATCGACAATGGATGGATTTAGATTTATCACAATGTGCATTTCGTACAAATATATCTAGAGAATTTGATCGTTTATTATCGAAAAATCAAACGAATATCTTAGCTAAATTAGTAACATATGTATCGAAACAAAATTTACAGGATATTCAATTTGATGATATTATTTTTTTAATTGATTTAATCGATGAAGAACAAAATAAAACATTATATACAAGAAAAAATATTGAAGAAATTTCAATGTTAATTTATCGTTTAACAGATTTTATTTTACAAATTCAACAAGATTTTATACAAATAAAACAATATCAATTAGCATTAAATAGATTAAGATTTATATTAGAAGAATTATTATATCGAACAAATCATTCATGGGTTTATGTTGGGAAACAATTAACAGCTATGACATTAGAATCACCATTACCACCAACAATATGTTTTATACCAAATCGACCTTTATTAACAATTATTTGTGGAATTATTAATCGACATTTTAAACGTCATGAGGTTTGTTAATTAATAATAAAAGGTATTCTATTTTTCGTTTTTTTTTGTCTAGTCAAAATTAGCAACAATCGAATTTCCATTACCAGCAAATACAAGTCATAATCAATCATCAACATTTAAGATAATATTCTATCGACAAGCAACATTATTTACAACGAATATGAAAATAAATAATAATCCTGTTATTTATTTAAAACCAGGTAAAATATTTTCAGAAAATATTGTGCATATGGATTCATGTTACATACTAGATAGATAGATTTATTATCATTACCTTTCAGTTTCGGGTAAAGATCAAAAAGTGTATATGGAAATCATAGGGATATATCAGTATTTTTTCAATAACTCGAGAATGGCCCCGCCCATCTTCGAACTCGACCGAGATCTTAATGAGACTGAATTGTGTAGAAAGTTTTATCAAAATCTGTCTCTCCTTTCGAAAGTTATCATGTAAACGGACGGACACACTGACCGATTCTAGTAATACACTCACTTTTTGAGTACACGAAAAACGAAGCTCTGTTAGTGGATTTTCAGTTCGTTCGCTGTTGAGTATTGATACTTGAGCCTGTCATCCAAAACGCGACCTCTTAACCGTGAGGAAAGGTTTCGATTGCACCCACCGTTGCCGCCATTTACTATGATTTTAATTGCGAATTTTATTTTGCACATGATTACTAATCCCTTGTAGTTTAAAGGTTATTGTGCATTAATACATGTTATTCTGCCTTTTTTATGACATACTAAGCGTTACCTGTCTCATGCTTATGTTTTACTCAAATAAGAGATTTATATTTCAATTAATGATTTGCACACAGTATGAATATCTCAAAGGCAAATTTGATAATGTGCAATTTTTCTAATCGATAAGCTCGGTTTGTTGATCATTGAATTCACTTCAAAGTTAATACATAAAACAATTCATTGAATATGACAAAAAAATTTCGTTACAATCGTATAACTTTACTTGCTCAAGAGACGATGTGTGAAAGTAGAGCATACATTATATAACCCACTTTGTACTGTTATAAGTTATATAGATTAAACCCACTTGATTTGTTTAAGAGAATAATTACTTACCATTCAAAATTTCTATTTCTAGTAACGTCGATTAAGATTTCTCCTGTAAAATTAACATTTTTTTGGTGAATCTAATCAAGCATCAATTGGAATATGGAATACAGATAAAACAGCTTGGCAAATGAAATCATCTACTTGTAAAATTGATCAACAAGTATATACATATTTATAATCTAAATTGAAATTAATTAATTTATTCATTTTAGAATATTGATTTAATTTCAACTGATTGTATTTTAACTGAAAATACTTCTTTATCAATAACATATTTAAATAATTTCGATGGCAATAAAAGTTTATTTTTAAATACAAATTATTTAGAATTAGCTATATATGTTTCATCAATCATAGCATCAATTTGCTTTTTTATTTGTATATTTTTTTATATTTGCTGTCATAAGTATGTTTTATATTTAAATGAATATAAATATCGAATCTTTCTTTTTTTTGTTTGTTCTTTAGAGTTTATTTAATGCCAAGAAGTTTTTTTCATTGTTTAATTAATTATTGGCTTAGTTTAGCTATTTTATTACCATTATTTGCTTTTGGTATACGACAAAGTCAATATTTATTTTTTTGTCAATTTATTGCCATTACTCTTCATTATCTTTGTTTAACAACAATACTTTGGTTAACATTATTAGCATAGTAAGTTAATTTGTTACCTTATTCGAAAACCTCATTTTATCATTTAGTTGTATTTGGCAAAAATTATATTATATATGGTCAGGTAAAGGTCATGAAGATGATGATGAAATGAATGATAATCCAAAGAGAAAATCTTCCGTAACTATTGTTGATTATGATGATGATGGTTTACCAATAATGAAATTAAAAGCAAAACCAATCATACAATTTTATTTACTAGCATATGGTATATCATTTATTATTTGTGGAATTAACGTCGCTATATCACGTGATCAATATATAACAAATAAAATGTAAATATACCATTCGAAATGAGTAGTTTTATTCGAAGTAACCTATGTCTTTAACCCTCGGTTACTGTAGTGGGATCCGCTTGGACCCACTTTACAGATTCTCGTCTCGTACTACATAACTATTTACTGTTTCGAGTCATTTGTCTCATGTAATCTGTAGTCATTAGTAGATGTATAATATCCATATGAAAAATCATGCCCGTATTTAAGACAGAAAAAATGCGGATATGGGTTCACGCGGACCCCAAGACACTAATAATGATTTAGATATGATTTTTCGCTTTTCTATAACTGCCACCTGTTGCGTATCGATTTGTTTTCAAATTAAATACGTTCTGATTCGCTTGCACGTTCACCTTTCATAATAGTAACTCACATTTTTTTTGTAAATTGCTAAATTTTCTCTACGCTTTGATAAAAACTAGTAAGAGTCAATTTTTTTTCTTCGCATCATGCGTTCTTATATTGCCTCTATAACAAGCGATGAATAAGTCGGTAGAGAAAAGAGGTACCTTACGTAAAGCAAAATCATCATTTTCTGTAACTTTTACGAGGTGGGTCTGCGCGGACCCCAGGACACTGTTCAAGTTATAAAATGAGGACGGTAACCGAGAGTTAAGAAGTGGGACATAGTTTATAGATTTTTTTCAACTCGACAAAAACGATTCATAGTTCTGTTTTGCATGACAATTTCAATAAGACACATTTTTTTATTTTTTAGTTGTTTTCTAAATAATTTCGAATCACTTCTTGCTTTATTTATTCCAATTGCAATCTTTATCTTCCTTTTACTTATATTTGTATTGGCTGCTCGTATTAATCTAAAACGTTTAACTAAAGAAGCAATACGTTTACGTAATATACCAGATGAAACAGAAATTGAACCAGAAACAACTAATGATAATGATAATGATGAAAATAATTTATCATCAAAACCAAATGAAACATTACCAATTATAATTCCATCAAATAATCTTAATATTGAACAAGGATTAGCACATATGGATTGTCGTCAATCACATTTAGATAGTTTATGTTCATCCGATATGGATCATCAACATCAACCATCAAATCAATTAATATCGATATTATTTCAATTATTTCTACTGATTTTTATTTTTCTATCATGTATAGCAATTTATATACATCCATTACAATCCTATAATATACCATTTGAACATTCAATTTATAATCATTTATATGGAATATTTGTTTTATTATTAGCATTTTATACATTGGCATTTTATATCTTAACACGTTCTGATTTAACAATGCATTGTCAATATTATAATTGTTGTCCAAATCGAAAGAAAAAACGTTTATTAAATCAATCATATAGTGAACCACCACCGCCACCGCAAACACCTCAATTATCACCATCACATCCAATGATAATATCATCAAAAGAAAATGATGATGAAAAAATCATATTAAATCAAAATTTAAGTGGTGATGAATCATTTACAGAACAAATACCACCGCCATCGCCACCACATTCACATTATTCATCAAGTCTATATCAAAGTCAATTAACACAAAATAATGAAATAGCAGCATTAACAAATGGTCAGACATTTGGTTCAAAACATCAAGCAACTATTGCATCAAAATATTATGCACGTCATCGACATATACTTAAAACAAATACATCAAGTAGTGAAATAAGTTTACAACAAAATGAATCAATTCCTCATTCAACATTAAATGCTATTCAACAAGAGTAAGTCTTAAAAATAATTTTTTCTCTATTGTACTTCTACTGCTTTCTAAGTTCAAATATACTTGTTAAAAGAGGGGGGGGGGGGGCGCCCACCGGCAAAAATCGTAGCTGTATATTTTGAGATGGTCCGGGTGGGCGCTGGACGAATGCCGCCCATCAAAAAAATAAAACCTAGATAAAACATTGCTTCTATGTTGTCAAATTGTTGAGCTTTCTTCTGTTTTTGAGTCTGATTAAGCATTAATACATTATCTATTGTCTTTTGTTTTCTTAGATCTCCTACATATATTGATAAGCAACAAATACAATCGAATCCACATTATGCAACCTCACCTAAAAATTTAATTCATAGTCCAAAAATGTCTCCTTTAATTCAAAATGGCAATACACGAGTAAGTGTTGTTAAATAGTTTTTCATGCGAATTAAATATTATTTTCTATATTTAGTATAATTTACCATCTGTTGCATCTCCTCGTACATTCATTCGTCCAACTACATTATCTCTTTCACCTCGTCCACAATTATCTCCATCACAAGCAATTATTCGTCCATTACCAATTATACGTCTTTCGTCTCCAAATATTAATAAAATATATTCAAATCCTTCATCAACAATGACAACACCAACAACAACAACATCAAATGGTCGAATAAGTCCAGTTGCTGAACAAAATAGTGGTGGTCGTAATTCCTATCGTGTTATGCCATCACCATCAACTGAAGAACGTCAAGCAACTTATGTTTATTTAAATAAAAATTCTCATCTAATTCAACAAGAATCTTCAACAAAAGAAAAACCATCTATTTGGAAAAAACCAGTTAATGGTCATCTTCCACATGTTGCATATATTGATGAAGATGATGAAGGTAGTGTTTCACTTAAATCATCTACATGTGATACAGCAACATCATCAAATACAACATCACCTATAATATCACGAAAAGATCGTTCACGAACATTATCATCATCATCATCTTCATCATCATCATCAACATATTCTCATGATTATCCAAATGGTCCTATTGATACAAATCAGATAATACTTCATGAAAGTAGTGTGTAAATAAAAAAATGGCCTTTTTGCTTTCCTCTTGTTCTTTCTCTTTTTTTTTGTAATAATATGATTATTCACGACTCAATTTAATTCATTCATCATATATTTGTTTGTTTTTTAGTCTGTAGTATTATCTTTCTGTCAGATATTATCTTTTTGAAGAAAAACAAAACTATAATGATCTCTTATATCTTCCGGCCGTTGTTGTAAAAAACAATGTGATCTGAATAAGTTTTTCTTTTTTCATATCATGTTTTTCTTTTCTGTTTCGTTAGATAATGTTGAATGAATTGA